TCTTGGACGACTCGCCTCCGCCACCGCTTGCCTCACTCCGTCTTCACCCACCCAAGACTTGACTGATCTGATGTCGTCCATTTCCATGAGCCTGCCAAACGCTGTGTTGGCCTGTCACACGGTCGCACTTCCTCCTCATGCTCACATACGTCTACCCTATTCGGGAAAGTGCTGCTTCGTTTTATTACGTCTGGTGTTTTGGCCATTCGGAGCGCGTGCCAACGAACAGGAGCCAGCTTCGATGCTTGGTCTCGGCACTGTCCAAACCACGCGAGCAAGCGCCCTTACAGTAATAAGGCGTTGACAGGGTGTCACAGCATAGTCCTCTTAACCCAGCACGGTCTGTGTTCTAGTGCGAGTACCGTTAAATGACAAAGGTTGACATCGGAACTCAGGCCCATGGTGGATTTGAACCCACGCGAAATGAGTCGTTGGAGAGTAAGATGGGCGATCCGGTAGGACGGGTAGGTTCACTGGACGACGCGAGAGGTCGGCGAAGCGAGTAAAGACGCCAAAACAGGCAAGCCAGTGGCAAAAGAAAGAAGAAGTTGGCCAATGTGGGATTCGAACCCACGCCCTTTCGGACCAGTGCCTTAACTGGCGCCTTAGACCGCTCGGCCAATTGACCACCTTACGCAAACCACAACCCTCGCGCAAACAAAAAACGCCATTCGCCAACACACCACAGCTCACAAGCCACGCGCCGCACGCAGCCAAACGAACCATGTAGCACACCACCTGTCTTGGACGACTCGCCTCCGCCACCGCTTGCCTCACTCCGTCTTCACCCACCCAAGACTTGACTGATCTGATGTCGTCCATTTCCATGAGCCTGCCAAACGCTGTGTTGGCCTGTCACACGGTCGCACTTCCTCCTCATGCTCACATACGTCTACCCTATTCGGGAAAGTACTGCTTCGTTTTATTACGTCTGGTGTTTTGGCCATTCGGAGCGCGTGCCAACGAACAGGAGCCAGCTTCGATGCTCGGTCTCGGCACTGTACAAACCACGCGAGCAAGCGCCCTTACAGTAATAAGGCGTTGACAGGGTGTCACAGCATAGTCCTCTTAACCCAGCACGGTCTGTGTTCTAGTGCGAGTACCGTTAAATGACAAAGGTTGACATCGGAACTCAGGCCCATGGTGGATTTGAACCCACGCGAAATGAGTCGTTGGAGAGTAAGATGGGCGATCCGGTAGGACGGGTAGGCTCACTGGACGACGCGAGAGGTCGGCGAAGCGAGTAAAGACGCCAAAACAGGCAAGCCAGTGGCAAAAGAAAGAAGAAGTTGGCCAATGTGGGATTCGAACCCACGCCCTTTCGGACCAGTGCCTTAAACTGGCGCCTTAGACCGCTCGGCCAATTGACCACCTTACGCAAACCACAACCCTCGCGCAAACAAAAAACGCCATTCGCCAACACACCACAGCTCACAAGCCACGCGCCGCACGCAGTTAAACGAACCATGCAGCACACCACCTGTCTTGGACGACTCGCCTCCGCCACCGCTTGCCTCACTCCGTCTTCACCCACCCAAGACTTGACTGATCTGATGTCGTCCATTTCCATGAGCCTGCCAAACGCTGTGTTGGCCTGTCACACGGTCGCACTTCCTCCTCATGCTCACATACGTCTACCCTATTCGGGAAAGTACTGCTTCGTTTTATTACGTCTGGTGTTTTGGCCATTCGGAGCGCGTGCCAACGAACAGGAGCCAGCTTCGATGCTTGGTCTCGGCACTGTCCAAACCACGCGAGCAAGCGCCCTTACAGTAATAAGGCGTTGACAGGGTGTCACAGCATAGTCCTCTTAACCCAGCACGGTCTGTGTTCTAGTGCGAGTACCGTTAAATGACAAAGGCTGACATCGGAGCTCAGGCCCATGGTGGATTTGAACCCACGCGAAATGAGTCGTTGGAGAGTAAGATGGGCGATCCGGTAGGACGGGTAGGTTCACTGGACGACGCGAGAGGTCGGCGAAGCGAGTAAAGACGCCAAAACAGGCAAGCCAGTGGCAAAAGAAAGAAGAAGTTGGCCAATGTGGGATTCGAACCCACGCCCTTTCGGACCAGTGCCTTAAACTGGCGCCTTAGACCGCTCGGCCAATTGACCACCTTACGCAAACCACAACCCTCGCGCAAACAAAAAACGCCATTCGCCAACACACCACAGCTCACAAGCCACGCGCCGCACGCAGCCAAACGAACCATGCAGCACACCACCTGTCTTGGACGACTCGCCTCCGCCACCGCTTGCCTCACTCCGTCTTCACCCACCCAAGACTTGACTGATCTGATGTCGTCCATTTCCATGAGCCTGCCAAACGCTGTGTTGGCCTGTCACACGGTCGCACTTCCTCCTCATGCTCACATACGTCTACCCTATTCGGGAAGGTACTGCTTCGTTTTATTACGTCTGGTGTTTTGGCCATTCGGAGCGCGTGCCAACGAACAGGAGCCAGCTTCGATGCTCGGTCTCGGCACTGTCCAAACCACGCGAGCAAGCGCCCTTACAGTAATAAGGCGTTGACAGGGTGTCACAGCATAGTCCTCTTAACCCAGCACGGTCTGTGTTCTAGTGCGAGTACCGTTAAATGACAAAGGTTGACATCGGAACTCAGGCCCATGGTGGATTTGAACCCACGCGAAATGAGTCGTTGGAGAGTAAGATGGGCGATCCGGTAGGACGGGTAGGCTCACTGGACGACGCGAGAGGTCGGCGAAGCGAGTAAAGACGCCAAAACAGGCAAGCCAGTGGCAAAAGAAAGAAGAAGTTGGCCAATGTGGGATTCGAACCCACGCCCTTTCGGACCAGTGCCTTAAACTGGCGCCTTAGACCGCTCGGCCAATTGACCACCTTACGCAAACCACAACCCTCGCGCAAACAAAAAACGCCATTCGCCAACACACCACAGCTCACAAGCCACGCGCCGCACGCAGCCAAACGAACCATGCAGCACACCACCTGTCTTGGACGACTCGCCTCCGCCACCGCTTGCCTCACTCCGTCTTCACCCACCCAAGACTTGACTGATCTGATGTCGTCCATTTCCATGAGCCTGCCAAACGCTGTGTTGGCCTGTCACACGGTCGCACTTCCTCCTCATGCTCACATACGTCTACCCTATTCGGGAAAGTACTGCTTCGTTTTATTACGTCTGGTGTTTTGGCCATTCGGAGCGCGTGCCAACGAACAGGAGCCAGCTTCGATGCTTGGTCTCGGCACTGTCCAAACCACGCGAGCAAGCGCCCTTACAGTAATAAGGCGTTGACAGGGTGTCACAGCATAGTCCTCTTAACCCAGCACGGTCTGTGTTCTAGTGCGAGTACCGTTAAATGACAAAGGTTGACATCGGAACTCAGGCCCATGGTGGATTTGAACCCACGCGAAATGAGTCGTTGGAGAGTAAGATGGGCGATCCGGTAGGACGGGTAGGTTCACTGGACGACGCGAGAGGTCGGCGAAGCGAGTAAAGACGCCAAAACAGGCAAGCCAGTGGCAAAAGAAAGAAGAAGTTGGCCAATGTGGGATTCGAACCCACGCCCTTTCGGACCAGTGCCTTAAACTGGCGCCTTAGACCGCTCGGCCAATTGACCACCTTACGCAAACCACAACCCTCGCGCAAACAAAAAACGCCATTCGCCAACACACCACAGCTCACAAGCCACGCGCCGCACGCAGCCAAACGAACCATGCAGCACACCACCTGTCTTGGACGACTCGCCTCCGCCACCGCTTGCCTCACTCCGTCTTCACCCACCCAAGACTTGACTGATCTGATGTCGTCCATTTCCATGAGCCTGCCAAACGCTGTGTTGGCCTGTCACACGGTCGCACTTCCTCCTCATGCTCACATACGTCTACCCTATTCGGGAAAGTACTGCTTCGTTTTATTACGTCTGGTGTTTTGGCCATTCGGAGCGCGTGCCAACGAACAGGAGCCAGCTTCGATGCTCGGTCTCGGCACTGTCCAAACCACGCGAGCAAGCGCCCTTACAGTAATAAGGCGTTGACAGGGTGTCACAGCATAGTCCTCTTAACCCAGCACGGTCTGTGTTCTAGTGCGAGTACCGTTAAATGACAAAGGTTGACATCGGAACTCAGGCCCATGGTGGATTTGAACCCACGCGAAATGAGTCGTTGGAGAGTAAGATGGGCGATCCGGTAGGACGGGTAGGTTCACTGGACGACGCGAGAGGTCGGCGAAGCGAGTAAAGACGCCAAAACAGGCAAGCCAGTGGCAAAAGAAAGAAGAAGTTGGCCAATGTGGGATTCGAACCCACGCCCTTTCGGACCAGTGCCTTAAACTGGCGCCTTAGACCGCTCGGCCAATTGACCACCTTACGCAAACCACAACCCTCGCGCAAACAAAAAACGCCATTCGCCAACACACCACAGCTCACAAGCCACGCGCCGCACGCAGCCAAACGAACCATGCAGCACACCACCTGTCTTGGACGACTCGCCTCCGCCACCGCTTGCCTCACTCCGTCTTCACCCACCCAAGACTTGACTGATCTGATGTCGTCCATTTCCATGAGCCTGCCAAACGCTGTGTTGGCCTGTCACACGGTCGCACTTCCTCCTCATGCTCACATACGTCTACCCTATTCGGGAAAGTACTGCTTCGTTTTATTACGTCTGGTGTTTTGGCCATTCGGAGCGCGTGCCAACGAACAGGAGCCAGCTTCGATGCTTGGTCTCGGCACTGTCCAAACCACGCGAGCAAGTGCCCTTACAGTAATAAGGCGTTGACAGGGTGTCACAGCATAGTCCTCTTAACCCAGCACGGTCTGTGTTCTAGTGCGAGTACCGTTAAATGACAAAGGCTGACATCGGAGCTCAGGCCCATGGTGGATTTGAACCCACGCGAAATGAGTCGTTGGAGAGTAAGATGGGCGATCCGGTAGGACGAATAGGTTCACTGGACGACGCGAGAGGTCGGCGAAGCGAGTAAAGACGCCAAAACAGGCAAGCCAGTGGCAAAAGAAAGAAGAAGTTGGCCAATGTGGGATTCGAACCCACGCCCTGTCGTACCAGTGCCCTAAACTGGGCACCTTAGCCCGCTCGACCAACTGCCCCACTTTACGCAACCCACTACCCTCGCGCATACAAAAAACGCCCACTCGCCCACACCCACAGCTCACAAGTCACGCTCCGCACGCAGCCAAACGTTCATGCAGCACACCACCTGTCTTGGCCGACTCACCTCCGACACCGCTTGCCTCACTCCGTCTTCACGCACCCAAGACTTGACTGATCTGATGTCGTCCATTTCCATGAGCCTGCCAAACGCTGTGTTGGCCTGTCACACGGTCGCACTTCCTCCTCATGCTCACATACGTCTACCCTATTCGGGAAAGTACTGCTTCGTTTTATTACGTCTGGTGTTTTGGCCATTCGGAGCGCGTGCCAACGAACAGGAGCCAGCTTCGATGCTTGGTCTCGGCACTGTCCAAACCACGCGAGCAAGCGCCCTTACAGTAATAAGGCGTTGACAGGGTGTCACAGCATAGTCCTCTTAACCCAGCACGGTCTGTGTTCTAGTGCGAGTACCGTTAAATGACAAAGGTTGACATCGGAACTCAGGCCCATGGTGGATTTGAACCCACGCGAAATGAGTCGTTGGAGAGTAAGATGGGCGATCCGGTAGGACGGGTAGGTTCACTGGACGACGCGAGAGGTCGGCGAAGCGAGTAAAGACGCCAAAACAGGCAAGCCAGTGGCAAAAGAGAGAAGAAGTTGGCCAATGTGGGATTCGAACCCACGCCCTTTCGGACCAGTGCCTTAAACTGGCGCCTTAGACCGCTCGGCCAATTGACCACCTTACGCAAACCACAACCCTCGCGCAGACAAAAAACGCCATTCGCCAACACACCACAGCTCACAAGCCACGCGCCGCACGCAGTCAAATGAACCATGCAGCACACCACCTGTCTTGGACGACTCGCCTCCGCCACCGCTTGCCTCACTCCGTCTTCACCCACCCAAGACTTGACTGATCTGATGTCGTCCATTTCCATGAGCCTGCCAAACGCTGTGTTGGCCTGTCACACGGTCGCACTTCATCCTCATGCTCACATACGTCTACCCTATTCGGGAAAGTACTGCTTCGTTTTATTACGTCTGGTGTTTTGGCCATTCGGAGCGCGTGCCAACGAACAGGAGCCAGCTTCGATGCTCGGTCTCGGCACTGTCCAAACCACGCGAGCAAGCGCCCTTACAGTAATAAGGCGTTGACAGGGTGTCACAGCATAGTCCTCTTAACCCAGCACGGTCTGTGTTCTAGTGCGAGTACCGTTAAATGACAAAGGTTGACATCGGAACTCAGGCCCATGGTAGATTTGAACCCACGCGAAATGAGTCGTTGGAGAGTAAGATGGGCGATCCGGTAGGACGGGTAGGTTCACTGGACGACGCGAGAGGTCGACGAAGCGAGTAAAGACGCCAAAACAGGCAAGCCAGTAGCAAAAGAAAGAAGAAGTTGGCCAATGTGGGATTCGAACCCACGCCCTTTCGGACCAGTGCCTTAAACTGGCGCCTTAGACCGCTCGGCCAATTGACCACCTTACGCAAACCACAACCCTCGCGCAGACAAAAAACGCCATTCGCCAACACACCACAGCTCACAAGCCACGCGCCGCACGCAGTCAAACGAACCATGCAGCACACCACCTGTCTTGGACGACTCGCCTCCGCCACCGCTTGCCTCACTCCGTCTTCACCCACCCAAGACTTGACTGATCTGATGTCGTCCATTTCCATGAGCCTGCCAAACGCTGTGTTGGCCTGTCACACGGTCGCACTTCCTCCTCATGCTCACATACGTCTACCCTATTCGGGAAAGTACTGCTTCGTTTTATTACGTCTGGTGTTTTGGCCATTCGGAGCGCGTGCCAACGAACAGGAGCCAGCTTCGATGCTCGGTCTCGGCACTGTCCAAACCACGCGAGCAAGCGCCCTTACAGTAATAAGGCGTTGACAGGGTGTCACAGCATAGTCCTCTTAACCCAGCACGGTCTGTGTTCTAGTGCGAGTACCGTTAAATGACAAAGGTTGACATCGGAACTCAGGCCCATGGTGGATTTGAACCCACGCGAAATGAGTCGTTGGAGAGTAAGATGGGCGATCCGGTAGGACGGGTAGGTTCACTGGACGACGCGAGAGGTCGGCGAAGCGAGTAAAGACGCCAAAACAGGCAAGCCAGTGGCAAAAGAAAGAAGAAGTTGGCCAATGTGGGATTCGAACCCACGCCCTTTCGGACCAGTGCCTTAAACTGGCGCCTTAGACCGCTCGGCCAATTGACCACCTTACGCAAACCACAACCCTCGCGCAAACAAAAAACGCCATTCGCCAACACACCACAGCTCACAAGCCACGCGCCGCACGCAGCCAAACGAACCATGCAGCACACCACCTGTCTTGGACGACTCGCCTCCGCCACCGCTTGCCTCACTCCGTCTTCACCCACCCAAGACTTGACTGATCTGATGTCGTCCATTTCCATGAGCCTGCCAAACGCTGTGTTGGCCTGTCACACGGTCGCACTTCCTCCTCATGCTCACATACGTCTACCCTATTCGGGAAAGTACTGCTTCGTTTTATTACGTCTGGTGTTTTGGCCATTCGGAGCGCGTGCCAACGAACAGGAGCCAGCTTCGATGCTTGGTCTCGGCACTGTCCAAACCACGCGAGCAAGCGCCCTTACAGTAATAAGGCGTTGACAGGGTGTCACAGCATAGTCCTCTTAACCCAGCACGGTCTGTGTTCTAGTGCGAGTACTGTTAAATGACAAAGGTTGACATCGGAACTCAGGCCCATGGTGGATTTGAACCCACGCGAAATGAGTCGTTGGAGAGTAAGATGGGCGATCCGGTAGGACGGGTAGGTTCACTGGACGACGCGAGAGGTCGGTGAAGCGAGTAAATACGCCAAAACAGGCGAGCCAGTGGCAAAAGAAAGAAGAAGTTGGCCAATGTGGGATTCGAACCCTCGCCCTTTCGGACCAGTGCCTTAAACTGGCGCCTTAGACCGCTCGGCCAATTGACCACCTTACGCAAGCCACAACCCTCGCGCAAACAAAAAACGCCATTCGCCAACACACCACAGCTCACAAGCCCACGCGCCGCACGCAGCCAAACGAACCATGCAGCACACCACCTGTCTTGGACGACTCGCCTCCGCCACCGCTTGCCTCACTCCGTCTTCACCCACCCAAGACTTGACTGATCTGATGTCGTCCATTTCCATGAGCCTGCCAAACGCTGTGTTGGCCTGTCACACGGTCGCACTTCCTCCTCATGCTCACATACGTCTACCCTATTCGGGAAAGTACTGCTTCGTTTTATTACGTCTGGTGTTTTGGCCATTCGGAGCGCGTGCCAACGAACAGGAGCCAGCTTCGATGCTTGGTCTCGGCACTGTCCAAACCACGCGAGCAAGCGCCCTTACAGTAATAAGGCGTTGACAGGGTGTCACAGCATAGTCCTCTTAACCCAGCACGGTCTGTGTTCTAGTGCGAGTACCGTTAAATGACAAAGGTTGACATCGGAACTCAGGCCCATGGTGGATTTGAACCCACGCGAAATGAGTCGTTGGAGAGTAAGATGGGCGATCCGGTAGGACGGGTAGGTTCACTGGACGACGCGAGAGGTCGGCGAAGCGAGTAAAGACGCCAAAACAGGCAAGCCAGTGGCAAAAGAAAGAAGAAGTTGGCCAATGTGGGATTCGAACCCACGCCCTTTCGGACCAGTGCCTTAAACTGGCGCCTTAGACCGCTCGGCCAATTGACCACCTTACGCAAACCACAACCCTCGCGCAAACAAAAAACGCCATTCGCCAACACACCACAGCTCACAAGCCACGCGCCGCACGTAGCCAAACGAACCATGCAGCACACCACTTGTCTTGGACGACTCGCCTCCGCCACCGCTTGCCTCACTCCGTCTTCACCCACCCAAGACTTGACTGATCTGATGTCGTCCATTTCCATGAGCCTGCCAAACGCTGTGTTGGCCTGTCACACGGTCGCACTTCCTTTTCATGCTCACATACGTCTACCCTATTCGGGAAGGTACTGCTTCGTTTTATTACGTCTGGTGTTTTGGCCATTCGGAGCGCGTGCCAACGAACAGGAGCCAGCTTCGATGCTCGGTCTCGGCACTGTCCAAACCACGCGAGCAAGCGCCCTTACAGTAATAAGGCGTTGACAGGGTGTCACAGCATAGTCCTCTTAACCCAGCACGGTCTGTGTTCTAGTGCGAGTACCGTTAAATGACAAAGGTTGACATCGGAACTCAGGCCCATGGTGGATTTGAACCCACGCGAAATGAGTCGTTGGAGAGTAAGATGGGCGATCCGGTAGGACGGGTAGGTTCACTGGACGACGCGAGAGGTCGGCGAAGCGAGTAAAGACGCCAAAACAGGCAAGCCAGTGGCAAAAGAAAGAAGAAGTTGGCCAATGTGGGATTCGAACCCACGCCCTTTCGGACCAGTGCCTTACACTGGCGCCTTAGACCGCTCGGCCAATTGACCACCTTACGCAAGCCGCAACCCTCGCGCAAACAAAAAACGCCATTCGCCAACACACCACAGCTCACAAGCCACGCGCCGCACGTAGCCAAACGAACCATGCAGCACACCACCTGTCTTGGACGACTCGCCTCCGCCACCGCTTGCCTCACTCCGTCTTCACCCACCCAAGACTTGACTGATCTGATGTCGTCCATTTCCATGAGCCTGCCAAACGCTGTGTTGGCCTGTCACACGGTCGCACTTCCTCCTCATGCTCACATACGTCTACCCTATTCGGGAAAGTACTGCTTCGTTTTATTACGTCTGGTGTTTTGGCCATTCGGAGCGCGTGCCAACGAACAGGAGCCAGCTTCGATGCTTGGTCTCGGCACTGTCCAAACCACGCGAGCAAGCGCCCTTACAGTAATAAGGCGTTGACAGGGTGTCACAGCATAGTTCTCTTAACCCAGCACGGTCTGTGTTCTAGTGCGAGTACCGTTAAATGACAAAGGTTGACATCGGAACTCAGGCCCATGGTGGATTTGAACCCACGCGAAATGAGTCGTTG